GCAGTATGATCCAAAAGAAGGCAGGAAAAAAGGAGCTAAAGAAATAAAAGATGAATGAGACTAATAGAAAACAAATATCAAAATGGTATATTTAAATCCACAGAAGCAACAATTACACCAGATATAAAAGGACTGAATATTCTAGTGAAAGGTCGGAGATTTTTCAACTGGACAGAAAAGCAATAGCAAATGAAAGGATGTTTATAACAGGCATATTTTATACAAAAACACAAATAAATTGAAAGTAAAAGGATTGAAAAAGATATGCTAAAAGCATTCCAAAATAAGCTGACGTGGCTATATTAATATCAGAAAAAGTAGAATTCAAAAAAGTAACATTACCAACAATAATGAAGGACATTTTATAATGATAAAAAATCTCAGGAATACATAACAATCCTAAACCTGCATGCACCTAGTTATGGAGCTTCAAAAGACAAAAAGCAAAAACTAATAGAACTAAAAGGAGAAACAAAAACATACATAATCATTGTTGGTTATTTTAACACCCATATCTATAAAACTGGTGGAACAAGTAGCAAATATCATGGAGGATACAGAAAATATAAGCAATGTTATCAAATAAAAATGGATATTTCTTAAACTCTATAGACAAGCACCAAAGAATTAACATTCATTTCAAGTATTCATGGAACGTTCATCAAGATAAACTACATGCTAAGCTATAAAGTATGTTTCAATAAAATTTCAAAAGTATATGTAGAGTATATTCTCTGAACAAAATTGAACTAAATTAGAAATCAAAGTTAGTTACTTAGAAAATCACAAATTATTTAGAAATTAAATAATATACTTAAATAATGCATGTGTTAAACAAAAAATCACTAGTTAAATTAGGAATTATTTCATACTCAATAACATTAAACAAAAATGTAAAAATTTTCAGGATACAGGCAATAGAGTGCTTAGAAGGAAATTCATGTCTTTAAATATAGTTAAAAGGTTATATTAGGAAAAGAAATGTTTAAAGTCAATGATACAAGTTTACTACTTTAAAAGTAAGAAAACGAAAGGCATATTAAGCCTCAGGATATAATAAAGACAGAAGGAAACTTAATGAAATAGAACAAAAATCCAACAAAATTAATTTAAAAATTAACAAAGCCATATATTTATGTTTTCGAAAGAACAAATTAATCTGATAAACTCCAAGCTAGACTGATCTAGGAGAAAGATAAGAAACACATATTGCTACTATTAGGAGTGAAAGGAATAGAACAAAAATCCAACAAAATTAATTTAAAAATTAACAAAGCCATATATTTATGTTTTCAAAAGAACAGATTAATCTGATAAACTCCAAGCTAGACTGATCTAGGAGAAAGATAAGAAACACATATTGCTACTATTAGGAGTGAAAGGGGAAATATCAGGATAGATCTTACAATAATTAAAGAAATAAATGAAACTATGACAAACAACTTCTTGGGGAAAAATCAGCAACATAGATAATAAACAGACCAATTTGTTGAAAAAATCTCTGTGTCGCTTTAATACCTTCTTTACCTTTTCCCTGCGAATTTGATCTATCTAGCTGACAGCTTCTTCTGAAAAACCGGTATCTGTTAGTGTAGCTGAATTCGTAATGACAAAACCTTCCCACAGACAAAATTTGCTGGTGAATTTTAACAAAGATTTAAGGAAGAAACAACAGCAATCCTTTACAAACTTTTCAAGAAAGCAGAGGAGCTGGGAACACTCTCACATCATTGATAAGGTTAGCATAACCTATATCAATTCTTGAAAAAGAAATTATAAGAGAACAAGGTTTTTTGTCTTATTTTATTTTGTTTTTCTCAACTGGCTGTATGGGGATCCAAACTCGACCTTGGTGTTACATGCTGCACTCTAACTGAGCTAATAGCCAGCCCCCAATTTTTCAATATGATTCAAAAACAGAGATGTAAAGATCCTAAACAAAACAGTCACAAATCAAGTCGATAAAATATAAAAATGAGTTATAAATTATGATCCAGTTGGGTTATCCCAGGAATGCATGTTAGTTTAACATTCAAAAGCCAATGAAAAAAATTAAAGTCAATCTATAATTTACAACATTAAGAATAAAGGACAAAATGGTAAAACTACATCAATAGATGTCTAAAAAGTTTTGACAAAATTCAATACACTGTTGTGATAAAATCTGTCAACAAACTAAGATTAGAAAGAACTTTCTTCAACTCAATGAAGGGAATCTGTATAAAACCAACAGCTAACATACTTAACAGTGACATATTACACACTTTAATTTTAATATATTGAGCAAGGTAATTAGGAGGTTCAAGAATAGGCAAAACTTAGCTATGGTGACAGAAGTCAGAACAATGTCTGCTAACTGGGGTTAGGGTATGGGGAAGGGAGGAGGAAGAGAATAAATGGAAGGGAGCACAGAACTTTCTGGTTTTATGGAAATAAGCCATATTTTGATTGAGAAGCTAGTAACATGGGTGAATACACTCCTTAAAATTCAAACACCTAAAATGAATATATTTCACTGAATGTAGATATTTCCTCAATAATAAAAAAGACATTCTGCATTTAAGTTATTACTACTGACTATATGTTCCAAATGGCATTAGGGTGTCAGGAATGACATGGCCCAAGGTCACAAAGGAAACTAATGTGGAAACCAGAAGTATTATTTAGAAAAACCCTATCTTTGAAAGAAAACATTAATTGTATTTCTCTTTTCCTTAACAAACAGAAGGGTAACATTAAAAAAAAAAAAAAGGGCCGGCCCCGTGGCTCACTCGGGAGAGTGCGGCACTGGGAGCGCCGAGGCCGCGGGTTTGGATCCTATATAGGGATGGCCGGTGCGCTCACTGGCTGAGCACGGTGCGGGCGACACCAAGCCAAGGGTTGCAATCCCCTTACCGGTCAAAAAAAAAAGACCAAAAAAAAAAAAAAAAAAGGAAAGACTTAGGGAATTCTTATTTTCGGCCCACAGAAAAGGCAACATTGGGGATACACGCTTATGCGGGCTGATTTATTACCTTTGCTCCAAGCTGAGATTACCCAT